TAGGGACGGCTAGCGCAGATAGCTCTCGTGTAGCTTTGCGCAAAATTCAAAACAAACAAACTCACCACGCACTTAAGATAATTTCTATATTTATATTTGTCGAAGGATATTCATATGTGTGTGTGTGTGTATGTACGTATATGTGTGCATGCGCACACCTATACTATGTACGTATGTATGTATCTGTGTGTTATATTATGCTAGTATATGACTGTTTGGCCATTTTATTAGGACTGTCGCCATCTCCTACGTAATAGTGTGAAGTCAGAGTAGCAAAAACTCCAATAGGTGCTGGAAGGTGTCTTGTTTGATTTCAGCCCACCTTTCGTCAGAAGATTACGGTGATGAATTCGATGTTCAGGTTCATTCCAAAGATGTCTAATCGAATTGAGATCAGGTAACTGTGATGGTTAAGAAAAATGAGTGGTGACATTGACATGTTATATAAACGATACAAGCACAATGGATTCCGTACTATTGTCAATCGGGTGGAAATGCAGTATTGTAGTGACGACCTGATGGACCATAACATTCAGAGACGACCTGATGGGCCATAACATTCAGATGCACTTGGATATCGTTTGTATTTCTAAATGAATCAAAGTGTTAAAGTATCTCAACAATCACCATAGAACCCTTCTTCTAATTTGATGATTAAAATATATCACAAGTAATAGAAAATTTCTTCAATAATTTGATGTCAAAATTATCGAAGAACCCTTTCACTAGCCCAACATCTATAAGACCAGCTCCAGCAATAATAAGAAACCTCTTAACAAGGACTATGTTTAAAAGATGCCCCCCCCCCAATTAGTCATCAGCGAGCCTTTTATTAATCCAAAGTAACATATGTTTCATTATTCCAGCAAAAATTATAAGCGCTCTTTTGTGGTCTCTTTAATATAGCCATTGGTTAAAGTGGAGATCTAAAGCTGGTGAGACCACTAGATCATTCCTCATAAAAAACGTTAAAAACTCAAATATCCATTGCCACATTTTATAAACTACATATTTTATCTCAAAGAAGAAAAAGTCACCATCTGTTTTGATGACAACCAGATCGTATGACGTTGGGCTACTTTACTTACAAGGTAAAAGATTGGCCACGCCCATCGCTCCCAGATTCACCTAATTGTAAATAGTTAGTCGCATTTCGAGTCCGACCCGAGTAAAGCCCAGTTTCACATATAATGGTATGCTCCTCATTAGTTTTCCTCAACAAACAGTCATTTACCCTATAAAATTGTTTCAGCTCCTCTAGACCCATTGTTACATATAGCTAGGGATCACTTCTTATTCCTTAGCTGGTTCACAGCGATATGTCTGCGGACTTACAACGCTGGATTCCGGATTTCGATATCCGTGGTGGGCAGAGCACAGATAGCCCATTGTGTAGCTTTGTGCTTAATTACAAACAAACTGGTTCACCCTCACTTTTATCACCGAAAATAGACAATATTTACCAGAGATTCCTATCGCTAGTCTAATGTTCAAAATAACCAATTACTATAAGAAAACTCCTTCTCAGGGAATCTTTTCACAAGCCCAACGTGTAAAAGACCTCACTGATCATCAGAGAACCATTTGCCAGTCCGATTACCCAAGCACTCATCAAAAAACTAGTCCACTGTTAAAAAAGAGAACCTATTAATAGTTCGATGCTAAAATACGTCTTTAGTCATCAGAAAATCTTACCTCTTGTGTAATGTTCAAAATAACCAAGTCATGGTCAAAGGACTCAGTCACAAACGTCGTAACCATCCAAGAATCCGTCCATTAGTCCATGTTTAACAGTCCTAAAAGACAGGCGTGACTGACAGGTTAGCATGCAGAACTGTGTGTCCAATGATCCATGGTTCGTGTTCCGTTGCTGCAAAATCGCACTTCATACTTTGGGGTCGTGGGTGCGTTGTAAGAATGACATTATTCGATTACAGTAGTCCAAGTGTTGGCGGTGGATGTTACTAACTAGATGCCTCCCTCTAGTCTATCAACTCAAAATTATAAACAAAACAACCTTACAGTTTCAAGTAATCGTCAGAAAACCTTTCCTCTAGCCAATGTCGAAAAACTTTTGAGCTAATTATCAGAGGACGCCCGCACTAGCTTGGTACTTTACGAACAAAAGTTATTATATGAAACTTGTAATATTACAGTTCTTAACATGACTTAGTAATAATCAAAATAGTTCGATGCTAGTTTTGTGTTTTTTATTGTCCCTTATAATCATCCGAAAACACTTCCACAACCGTTTTATAGCAGCTTCTTATGAGCAGGTTAAGTTTAATATTTATCAGTTTGTTTGAAGTTAAGCACAAAGCTACACAATTGGCTATCTGTGTTCTGCCCACCACTGGTATCGAAACTCGGTTTCTGGCGTTGTAAGTCCGCAGACATACCGCTGTGCCACTGGGGGAGCAATATTTATCAGAGTTATTTAATATTAAGTTGGTGTCTTACTTAGCCATTTAGTATATATTATTTATTCTATGTTTTTTATGACATTGTTTAGCAATGATATCTTTAATTCCATGGTGTCGATAATATATAGTTTTGTATTTTTTGAAACCCAATACATATCAGCAATGTTTTCATTGACTCTTATAAATCACACTACATATTGAGCTTTCACACTAACATAGACAGAAGTTCACACACTCCACCCACCGTTCTAACCAACGACAGTAAAATATAGATCACATGGTGAAGTATCGATCGTTGTTTGATACACCCGTCGTTCACCATTTGGTTTTGTCATACCACGACGGAATAGATATTCAGCAACAGATAAATAATTCAGCAAACTGTTGTCGCGCTTGAACATTTCTCTCGCGAGCTGTGCATGTCTTTCGAATGTAACTGTTTCGAAAGGAATTAGTTTCTTTAACAGCCTTCAACTAAAATAGAAAAAAAAAAAGAGGGCATGGCAAACCTCGTAATTCACTGTTGAAATATGTAATTATATTGTGTGTTAAAACATATCATTCGAAGTAGTATGAAGTAACAAAATAATATGATACTCCTCAAGTTTTACATGTGTCACTTAGCAACAACAAAAAACATCGCAAAGTAGTTTTACAATCACCATGAAGGCGCGAGATTGTTTTTTTTAAGCGTCATAGGAATGAAAAATTTCCAAAACTGATTTAAGCTTTGCATTTTCATAATTCCATTTTCATTTTATCTATTGTAAGTATGTGGCAGAAGAGTAGTAATTTTAGGCAAATCATTATTTGTCTGAATAAATAATAAATACCTTGGCAAATAGTAAAACATGGTCACTTATTTTGTATTTGACAATATGCCTAAACATTTACTAAATGCTTGCACACGGATTTGGAATTTATTTTGTGTAAGCAATGTTGCGAAGAAATCTTAATTGATGCATACATTTACATGACAGTTAACTAATTTTTAAATTCATTTTTTAAATGTAATTAAATGGATTAATAATTTGCAATTATCTGTAACTCCAGATCCATGTAAATTCTCACAGAAAATAATAATCTGGTTTTCAGAAGTAATTTTGCGTTTAATAAACTTATTACTTCTCTGTGTAACATTTGTCCTTAATTTACTAGGATAACGAATTTTACTGAGATAATGATTTTCAGTTCGTAGACAGATAAAAAACAATGATGTTTAATTTAAAGCAATATTCAGATATGCTTTATGCTATTTGCTTAGCTCCCAGTGTCACAGCGGTATGTCTGTGGACTTATAATGCTAGAAACCGGGTTTCGATACCCCTGGTGGGCACAGCACAAATAGTCCATTGTGTAGCTTTGTGCTTAACTTCAAACAACAACAACCCAGTGGCTCAGCCGTATAAGTCTGAAGAATTATAACGCTAAAAACCTGGTTTTGATACCCGTGGTGGGCACAGCACAAATAGCCCTTTTTTGTGCTTAACGACGAATAAACAAAATATATTTGCCTTCACTTATACTCAGCTTTTACTCAACGCCAAACCAGCGTTCAGGCAAATTGTGTTTTACTATTTGTCAAGATGCTTAGTATTTGCGTAGGCAAATAATTATTTTTTCGTAATTAATATAAGCCTGTAATACATACATTGATGTTTTGTTCATATCATCTAGACGTAAACGGAGTCTCAAAGTTGTCGTCAACCTCTTTGCTTGCAAAATGATTACATAATTTCATACGGTCAGTAGCTGATAAGACAATTCATCAGTGGAAGAATTGTTTGTTTGTTTGTTTTGAATTTCGCGCAAAGCTACACGAGGGCTATCTGCGCTAGCCGTCCCTAATTTAGCAGTGTAAGACTAGACCCGCCCCCAACTCTTGGACTACTCTTTTACCAACGAATAGTGGGATTGACCGTCACATTATAACGCCCCCACGGCTGAAAGGGCGAGCATGTTTGGTGTGACGGGGATTCGAACCCGCGATCCTCAGATTGCGAGTCAAGCGCCCTAACCACCTGGCCTCACCAAACTAGTGTTACCACTCTTTAAATAATCTCGAACATCAACAAAAGGAAATAAAGCACTAAGTCATCTCACCAGAGATAATGTTATACAATGTTGTTGTTTTTTTTCAGTACTCTTAAATATATACGTTAAAGAATGTACTTTATGTACACGTTTCAACACTTTATGAAAGGAAGAATTTTTATAAAGGAACAAAATACATAGTAGAATATAATGGGCATTTATTGATTTTGTTTACAGAAATAACCATTTAGATGTGTTGAGCTGAAACCGTACTACATGTGTCGTTTCTTGTGTGTTTTTTTCTATATGTGTATTTCAGTGGCACCCGGAGGTAAGAGATCATTCCTCCAATGTACCGGTTATCTTGTGTGGCTGCCAAAGTGACCTCCGTACGGACAGTGACACCTTGACCTCTCTAGCAAAAGTTAAAAAGGTCCCCGTAAGCTCAGAACAGGTCAGTAAATGCCGAGTTTGGACGAACTTGTCAGTAAACCTACCGAGTCTTTTCAGGTTTTTCAATACACGATTTCTAAGTTCACTTGACTGAAGCCTTATTGTTTTTTTTTAAATCTAACTTTTACCACATTTTATTTTTCTCTTTCAGGTTACTTGTTTGAAATTTGTGTGTTTTTGATGAATTGCTCAATTCACAACTGAAATCTGGTGTTTCTTAGAGTCACCTAAATAAATTTGTAATAGGTACTCAGAATAATATTTATAAATTACCAAGATAAATAAATGACATTGAACTTTGCCTTGAAATTGATCAATGACCAAATAAAATAACCCATGATTAACATCTAAGTTTTCAATCCCTATGTCACAAAAATCTTATTATTCAATTTATTCAATCACACACACAAACACACTTACTTGTATGTCATATGAAGCGAATAGATAGATTTAAAAATTCCATAAGACAGATGTAAATGTGGAAGTTGTTATCGACCGGTTATCGATTTACAGCTTTAACAACAACAACACCAAAAAATTGTTCAGAATGAGCTTTCTAGCTTTACCCAACATACGTTACACGCGGTCTTTGACAATTTAGGGATAAGGAAAATGAAGTTTAAAAAAATTTATAAATCTCATGTATAATTTATGGGTTTATTGAGTGTTTGTATTTCATAAATGGGATAATTGTGTGCTGTAATTGTTCATTAACATTGTAAATATTTAAGGTTGTTTCAGAGGACCCTGATATACGTAAATGGTTAGCACAGTTGGTTTGTTTGTTTGTTTGTTTTGAATTTCGCGCAAAGCTACACGAGGGCTATCTGCGCTAGCCGTCCCTAATTTAGCAGTGTAAGACTAGAGGGAAGGCAGCTAGTCTTCACCACCCACCGCCAACTCTTGGGCTACTCTTTTACCAACGAATAGTGGGATTGACCGTCACATTATAACGCCCCCACGGCTGAAAGGGCGAGCATGTTTGGTGTGACGGGGATTCGAACCCGCGACCCACAGATTGCGAATCGAGTGCCTTAACCACCTGGCCATGCCGTGACAGCACAGTTGGAAATATGTTTGGAAATTAAAGATCATATCAACGTAGTTCAATGTTGTAATAACAATTAGGCATAAAATACTCACGAACTTTAATGTACTAAATTTTTGTAGAATGTCCCATTTATTTAGGCATGGAAAACAGTCCCATCATGTCATATGTTAGATGCTTGTTTAAGTCATATAAATGAAAAGATATGGTCGTGTAGTTATTAGTCTGAAAGACAGTAGTTAATGACAAGAAACTCTCCAACTTTCAAAGGAGCATTAGGAGCCCATCTAGTAAAAATGTCATTATCAAAAATCTTTTTTTATATTTGTTCTTAAAAAAACTTCTGTCGTCAGGGGATATCAATGAAACGAACTCTGGCTGCCAACCGCTGGTAAGAAACAGGAAAAAACATAAAAAACAGAAAACGATTAAAGAGTTATGTAAGTTACAACAAACCAGTTCCTTCAACAGTGGTTCGGATTCCACATCTCCAACTGTACCAAGAGAAGAACATTATATAAAAAAAAACTGTCATATGGCACAACCAGCGAAAACCGCTTATCTCAGATGCAAACAGATGAGCCTGGCTTATATGGTACTTAAAGCACAAACTGTGGACAATGAATGACTGGAAGCGGATGTGGTTTGGTGAGTCGCTTTTACCCCCCCCCCTTTTTTTGTTACTGACGACAGAGTAAAAAATATCAAACAAATCTCATGAGGCACTTGACTCTGCTTGCATTACTTCGTCAGTGAAAGTTACTGGATTTGGTTTAGTAGTATGAGGAATGCTATTCTAGCAGAAGCTGAGTCATTTGATTCATTTAGAAATACAAACGATATCCAAGTGTATCTGAATGTTATGGCCCATCAGGTCGTCTCTGAATGTTATTCTAGCAGAAGCTGAGTCGTTGGACTAGTGAAAAGGTTCTTTATACTGGCTGGGACCTTTTAAACATTGGACTAGTGAAAGGGTTCTTTATACTGGCTGGGACCTTTTAAACATTGGACTAGTGAAAAGGTTCTTTATACTGGCTGGAACCTTTTAAACATTGGACTAGTGAAAATGTTCTTTATACTGGTTGAAACCTTTTAAACATCGGACTAGTGAAGGGTTTCTTTATATTGGCTGGGACCTTTTAAACATTGGACTAGTGAAAATGTTCTTTATACTGGTTGAAACCTTTTAAACATCGGACTAGTGAAGGGTTTCTTTATATTGGCTGGGACCTTTTAAA